TGACAATTCTAATGCATGTTGACATCAGGTGGATGTGAATGTTGCCCCCATGGAGCAAGCATTTTGGAGCACCCTTGCATTTCTAAGAATAATGTGTGTGTGTGTGTGTGTGTGTGTGTGTGTGTGTGTTTGTGTGTGTGTTTGTGTGTGTGTGTCACAAATATATTTACTTGTTACATGTAAACCATCAACATAAAATTAGTAAATTAGTGAATTATTAATGTAAGTTATAAAATTGAGAGTTGAAACAAAGAATAAAAAAAATTAAAAAAGAGAAAATAATACTTTGCCTTGTATCTGCTCAATATATAAAAATTAAGCAGTTCACTCAAAATGCTTATGTTGCATAAACCCGCTTTGACAAAGAAGAAACATATTCATAGGCAATCTATATATAGAGAATCACTGATCCCATAGACAATAAACAAAGCCCTTGTGTGCCTATGCTTGTTAAAAATAGACAAAACTAAAAAAAAATCACTTTTTTCTAAGATTTAAAAAAAGTTCTACCATAGATAAATAGTACACATTTTAGTCTACACTTTGTCCTGTTTAAAAATGTATAAAATTATGATACTGGGGCAGAGCATTGGAGTTATTTACAAATTATTGTTTTTGCAATTTTGTCCTTTTTTATTGCTAGCAACAATACACAGAGTTAAGGTAAATACATTATCCAGAGTGTGATCATTCAGCAATACAATGGTGTATGAGTAAAAACCCAAAACAATGAATGTTGAAATGTACAAAAACTCCTGCTAAGCGGAAGCAGTGCAGTGATCCAAACTATCATCCACTGGCAATTATGTCAATGCTCTGTTACACTTGTTATTAAATGTCAACCACAGGAATGATCCACAATATAAGTGCAGTGCCTCTTCATGCCCCCCAGTGAGGGTAAACTCACCAGATAACTGTGGCCTTATAATGAACAAGGTCTAATGCACTTTATTCCAACTGGTGGAAAGTTACAACATCTCCTGAGCAATATTCAAATTCCAGCCACTCCAAACCAATTGTATCAGTAAAAAATAAACAAGGAAAGCTCCATAGTGTTAAACCACAAACAAAAGAAACAGAGCACCCCTCTCATGTGTAGAACATTTATTATATTAAAAAGTTACATATGCAAATATACAGGTGAAACTGGAATAATTAGAATATCGTGCAAAGTTCATTTATTTCACTAATGCAACTTAAAAGGTGAAACTAATATATGAGAGAGACTCATTACATCCAAAGCAAGATAATTCAAGCCGTGATTTGTCATCATTGTGATGATTATGGCTTACAGCTCATGAAAACCCCAAGAACCCCAAATCCAAAACCTCAAAAAAGTAGAATATTACATGCAATCAATAAAACAAGGATTGTACATAGAACAATATCGGACCTCTGAAAAGTACAAGCATGCATATGTACTCAGTACTTGGTTTGGGCCCCTTTTGCAGCACTTACTGCAATTATTTTTGCACGATATTCTAATTATTTGAGTTTCACCTGTACTCACAAGAGCAGTATTGAATGCACATGGGTTAATATTGGCCTGCGAGAGGGTCACACTCATGGTCGAAGGACTTCTCTTCATTGGCAATTGGTTCAAACACAGCCTCTGGTCACATAATGGGATTTCGGAGAGTGTTTCTTATGTTTTACTGGTTATGTGCTGTTTGGATTGTGTTTGCAGAATATTTATGTTTCTATTTAATAAAAAAAAATTGAATATAAAAAAAAAGAATCCACACCAATCCAAATAAGGGCCTGCAATGTGCCCTAACAAATACTTCTTTGGTTGATGTCTGGAGACTACTTCCCACAGCTGAACTTGTTATGATAAGGCACATTCAACTCTCTTCAGAATAGACTATTTTCTCATAATGGACTCCTTTTTTTCTAAAGTAAACAATGCCACCATTTTCTAAAACATTTTCCAAACATTTTCCAATCCCTGACCATGTACACCTGTAGAACTAGGCCCATCACTTTTAAAGTATCTCCCCATCTTGCCAAATCTTATGAATCTAAAACTTTTCTTCAACTTCACTGGGCTAACTATTTGGATGATAACTCAGCAAGGACACATCTGTTTTTTTTGGCAAATAGCAAAAGTGGTCCTCAGTGGGCAAGTTTTAGCGTACACTGTTAATACCAAAAAGGAATCTCTCCTAAAGTGACATTAAAGGCTGCACAAATGCTGCTTTAAGTACTTACCTTATGTGATGCCTCTTGATGCGAACATCTTCCTTCCACTCGTTTCCAACAGTCCCTTAAACGCTGGGGCCACTCTCTGACCCAGTGTAGACTCCTATGTTTTCCTGTGTCCCAGGGAGTCTGTTCTAACCTTTATGCTCCCGGCTGCATTCATTCACCTACACAGTGTCACTCCTCCTCTCCCCTCTGGTGATATTGAGTGCGCATGCGCCTGCACACACTTCCTCCCTGCACGGGCGTTTAGGAAGCTGTGTTCTGCAGCCAGGAGCTAGCAGTGCAGACACAGGTAAGTTATTACTTAATTTGCACCTTGTTTCATTTTTTAAATATTGGAGCATATATCTACCACTTGCTAGCAGTAGATATGTGTGAAAAAAGGAGACTTTATTACCAATTTAAGTTTACAAACCAATGTCCCTCCAACTCACAGACAACAAGGGTATTCAAAATAAGGGCCTTTGCACATGACCTGCTTTTACATAGCTCACATCTTAAACACTCCCTTCCTTACACATTATAACATATTGGTAAATGTGGCCAACTCTCTGGTTACTCCATCAACCTAGACAAATCAAGAGCACTTTTTCTAGTTCCCCTCACCATCATACAGTAAACTTTTATATGAATTATACTTAAGAATCCCGGTAAACTACAGTATAGAAAATCAATATTTCAACTCTATTGAACTTACTTAAAACAGCTTTTCTCACTTGGTCCCATTTCACCATATCTTACATGGACAGGGTGAGTTTAATTAAAGGCCACCCTTCCCAAAACTCTTCCTCAAACTACAGGTCCTTCTTATTAATTTTAAACATTCTGACTACAAGTGTATTTATAATATGTTCCAGGAGTTAATTTGGGGTAGTAGGAGAGCAACTGTCCTCAAGTCTATGCACTTTTCCAGCAAATTTCCAGAAATGGGGAACTTAACCTACCTGACCTTGACATGTATAATTTACTGTCTCTCACTCAGTATATAAAAAAGGAGCCGTATTCATGATACCTGTATACTGACTATAGTCCTGATCAAACCATGTTGCCACAAATTAATTTATTATACACCCTCTGTTTCTATAAAGAGCTCTTGCCTCTGCACATAGCCTTGAATCCTCTGTTATATAGTAACTGTCTTGGTTGGCATACAATATTTGTCTTTTAAATAACCATGCATCACTTTTACAAACAATTTGGAAAAAACCTGATTTTCCGGAATCCACAGGACTACCTACTGCCAAACAATGGCTTAGTGAGGGTATATGCTACATCAATCCCTTAACTAGTGCTGCCACCAAACAACCATTACTCTTGCATTCCGCACTAGAGAAATTCCCTTTCTTATTTAATAACACGATTGTTGTTTTGAAAGTGAAGTCTTATGGCATCTCCATTGTTAAAAGGCTGTCCCAAAAAGACTGGTGTAAGAGTCCAGTACTAACTGCACATGCGCCAACGGCGCGTTGTCTCAAAAATCGGAACAAATCCGCGCCAAGGGCGCGTCAATGCGCCAACCCGCGCATGCGCAGAAGGCATGACTCAGAAAGGCAGGAAACAGCCCAGGAGGTGCACAGGAAGTGACCTAAACTCCAATCATCACTTCCTCTATAGATTGCTGCCTGCCCTTGACCTCAGATTTGTATATTGGCCATTCTTCTGCCTTGCCCTTTTGTACTTTGCTAACCGATTGGAATCTACCCCGGCTTGGATCTCGACCATTCTTCTGATTTGACCTTTTGTACTTTGCTGACCGATTGGACTTGACTCCGGCTCGGATCTCGGATATAGGCCTGCACGGTGCTCAGCACCACTGGCACTCGTGCCACTCGGTGTCCGCCAGGTCTCTGTATCCATCCCCAGAGGCCTCAAGACCCGAGTTGCAAGGGAGGCCTCCTCACTACTACAGTCTCACCTCAGGTATGTGACAGACCTGACAACTGGACAAACCCTGTTGGATGTCTTCCTGCAATCTTCTAACTCAAAAAAATTTAGACTTTTCTACTATCTATACCTTTTGTCTGCAACTTTTGGATTTCTTCTCTTCAGCAACTAAATAAATGGACCTTCCCTCATGTATCAACAACAACTTCTTATAATTGTCTTGCAGAGCAAACAAAGCTACAATATATTATTAAAACTCAGGGGTTAAACCTTAAAAATACATTCAAGTACCTTAACTATGAACAACAATGTATCTTATTTGTGTATCACTCGGCTGTAGATCCTCCAATCATCTCTGAATTGGTGCTGAAACTGTCCTTCCTTCTGTGGGGGGTTACGTCTGTTCCCTATGGTCCCTGTATGTGTTGTAAAGTAGTCACCGCTCCAAGCTTGCTCCCAGGATGGACTACAATCTCATGTTTAGTTTAATACTTTGTATTGAGATTGTAGTTCATTTTTGTTAATAGTTAAAGTACTTGAATGCAATTTTAATATTTAACTCCTGAGTTTAGTGTCACTTTATTGTAAAGCCAAAATGTTTTTTAGGCTTGTAATTTTAGATTGAGTTGGGAATGGTTAAGACCCCTGTCATTTTTTACTGTGTCCTTTAAGGGGTTTTGTATTTAATTCCTGTCCCAGACACACAGCAGGAGGTTTCTCCAAGCAATAAGACATCCTCTCTTATGCAGTTGTCATTAGAACATTTCCCCTTACATATTGTTCCTGTGAAAATGCAAACATTTTGGATTGCCCATCACTTACTTTACCACGGACAACATTCACAGGGACAAAAAGCATGTATATTCCTCCCAAGCAGGGTCCCAGACAGCAGTAAAAGCCTGTCAAAGGTTCTAATCCTTCCATATTCTATCCAAAGCAAAAAGTGTGTGTATAGATTTTTTTTAAAGTATGGATGGAGTAGGGAAGTTTTACAACGCCTGTCAGTGGTTTATTGCTGGCTGTTGCTGGTTCATCTATAGACAAATCTAAATCATTTGTATGTTTTTATGAACTTGTCTCCATCAACTATTAACATCATGTTTGAAATACAAAGGGGACACAGGTGCTAGTGTTGTTTTCTGCAAATCATATATAAGTATTGTTTGGAGCAATGAAATCCAGGTGGTGACTTTTTTTTACCTGGGCAGTGTATAAGACTATGAAATTGTAAAAAGGAGTCAACTGGCAGCTCTGTTTGTTGTAGGGTTTCTGCGGATGGTCCATAGGAATACAGAATAAAAACATATGCCACACCATACATAATAGTCTGAAATTATATTTTATTATAATTGCTAAGGAAAAAACAAAGTGTTTTGGTGGCTGTATGATAATCTCTTTGACAAGCTCCCTTTGATAATTTGAAGAAAATGAGATCTGGAAAGGATAACATGAACAGAAAAACAGCTGATCAACTTCTGACAGTCCCACTTGGTAGTCTGTTACTATATTTTAATTTAGATTTCTATAAACTCCAAAATGAGTTGGCTTTTTCTTGGTCGTTTTAATAAAACACCATTCTGGATTTTATACATGCAGTTGTGCTTATATCCTTTATGGTTTAATTAGGATTTAATTGTTGTCTGTGTCCCCAATTGGTGATATGAAAGTGATGGGAAAATTGAGAAATTGTGAGCTGTCCCCAGAACAAGAAGAGAGGGGAATCTTGCAATGGGAACACTTGTTTTGCAGAGATTTCCTCTAACTTAATATCCTGCCAATGGGACTAAGATGGTAAAATAATAAAAATGGCTACTTTATCCCAACAAAAAAGTTTTGGCTTTAGAAATGCTTCAATGAAGCATTCATATGCTCGCTAAATACTTTATACTGTATATTTAAGTAACTACAAATTGATTTAAAACAATTAATTGCAGATGTCAATAGCAAAAATTGTGGTGGGAACAGATTTATGAATATTGTTACCGTATATACTCGAGTATAAGCCGTCCCGAATATAAGCCGATGTACCTAATGTTACCACATATATATACGGTATATACATCAGTTTTTTTGTAGGTTTCATCCAAGACTTTTAATAAGCATTTTGGTTATATATGACTTTTCTCAAAGCTTCCTTAATGTCTTCATTCCTCAAACTGTATATGAAAGGATTTAGTAAGGGAGTCAATACAGTGTATAGCAATGACAAAGTCTTACTGAGGATCTTCGTGTGCCCTTCATTTGGAATTATGTACGTGGCGATCAAAGTCCCATAAAAGATAGACACCACTGTCAGGTGGGAGCTACAAGTTGAAAAGGATTTAAGTTTTCCAGTAGAGGAGGGTATCTTTAATATGGTTAACACAATACACACATATGAAATTACTATAATGAAGAACGGTAAGACAATTACAAGAATGCACAGTAAGGTGGCTTCCATTTCTGCCATGGACACATCTGAGCAAGAAAGTTCCATCACAGGGTAAAAATCACAGAAAAAATGGTCAATCATATTTGACCTGCAGAAATATAGCTGATTTATTGCAAGTGTCAGAATCAGTGCAACAAAGCATCCTAAGGTCCAAGATGTAACAACTAACCTAATGCACAGCACGTGGTTCATAATGGAGGAATAATACAGCGGAGAACAAATGGCTAGGTAGCGGTCATAGGACATCATCGTCAGAAGAAAACATTCAGAGCCCTCGTTTAAAATGAAAAAATAAAGCTGAGTTATGCATCCAGGAAAAGACATGGAGGCCCGTTGATGTAGTGCAATATTTAGCATGACGGGGGAAATATCTGAGGACAAAAATATGTCAGCTATGGAGAGCTGGGAGAGGAAAAAGTACATGGGAGAGTGGAGGTTCTTGCTGTAGGACACCAGTGTGATGATCAAGGAGTTGCCTAATATTGTCACACAGTAAATGATGAGCAGCAAGATGAAGAGCAATACATTAAATCTGTCCATGTCATGGAACCCCAGAAGGTAAATGACTGTGATGTTGTTCTTGTAGGATGCCTTTGTATTGCAAAAAGCACACAAAAATAGTATTAGAACTAATAATACTCTACATTAGTTTCTGGTGCTGGGAAATGTGTTTGGTGTTGGGTTTTCTATACCAAAAACATGTGTAAGAAAAACAGTTTGGAAACACCCCCCTCTAGCCTATCCACACAACCCAACACTTGAAGTGTATGTGAACCCTAACAATTAAGTTTGTGTATTTTCTTCATGTTAGTCTGTTAAACTTTTTTTGTTGTAACTGTTTGATGAGTGCAAACATATCTCTTGTTCATGTCAAAAATCCAGAGTTGTCTTTTGCATTGTGCACGCTTCCTGCTTTATATCAAAAAGTCTAGTTAGCCCTCCTAGTTCTTATCTTATGCTATGCTTAGTTAGCCCTCCTAGTTCTTATCTTATGCTATGCTTAGTCTCTATGTGTAATGGATGTGGGTATGTGACTATGATAAAAATGCCTATTTCAATATATATTGTAATATATATATATATATGTTATGGAGAATAATCTTGGGGATAAGTTATGACAATTTACATGCACATTCACCTCATTCCCTGCCCTCAAGGAGCTTACAATCTAAAGTCCCTATCTCACATACATACATACATGGCCAATTAACCTTCCAGCATCACTTTGGAGTGCGAGAGGAAACCAACACAAGCACAGAGAGAACATGCAAACTCCTTGCAGATAGTGTTCTTATCAGGATTTGAACCAGGGGCTCCTTATTGCTGCAAAGCGCCACAGCCCTCCACTACCCCACTGTGCACTCGAGCAGGTTAGCAACAGATAATGGCTGACACACAGTCAGTCCTTTAAAATGCTGTGTGTTGTCATTCCACAACAGGACTTGGGAGCTGAGAGCATTTCTGGCAGATCCACACTTATGTTTTTAGACTTGCAAACTCTTTAAAGGGATAACACATGAAGAAAAGTGCATGCATTACCCATGTGTACTGCATTTTTTCGTATTACTGTTCCTATATCTGAAGGTAAATCTCATTCATCATGGCTTTTTAAATACTGAACAGATATTACAGTGTTTGCCTAATGAGTCAGTTACTGACAGTGTCCTCTTCAATAATTCTTGGAAACTTTCACAATACAACAATGTATCTTATTTGTGCATCACTTGGCTGCAGATCCTAAAATCCTCTCTGAATCGGTGCTGACACTGTCTTTCCTGCTGGAGGGGGGCTACTTTTGTTCCCCATGGTCCCTGTGTGTGTTGTAAAGCAGTCACCGCTCCAAGCTCCCTCCCGGGATGGATCACAATCTTGATACAAATTAGTAAATTAAACATGAAATTGTAGTCCATCCCAGGAGTGAACTTGGAGTCGTAGCTACTTTACAACACACACAGGGACCATGGGGAACAGAAGTAGCCCCCCCTCCAGAAGGAAGGACAGTGTCAGCACCAATTCAGAAATTATTGGAGGATCTACAGCCGAGTGATACACAAATAAGCTACATTGTTGTATTGGAAAAGTTTCCAAAAATTATTGAAGAGGACACTGTCAGTAACTGACTTATTAGGCAAATACTGTAATAAAGTAGTCACTGCTCCAAGATCACTCCTGGGATGTTCTACAATCTCATATTTAATTTACTAATTTATATTCAGATTGTAGTCCATCACGGGAGCGAGCTTGGAGCGGTGGCTACTTAACAATACACACAGGGACCATGGGGAACAAAAGTAGCCCCCCTCCAGAAGGAAGGACAGTGACAGCACCAATTCAGAGATGATTTGAGGATCTACAGCCGAGTGATACACAAATAAGATACATTGTTGTTATTAGTTAAGGAACTTGAATGTATTTTTAAGGTTTAAGGGCAGGTTCACACCATTTTCAGGAACAGATCTGGCCTGGAAAATGGGGTGAACCTGCCCGCAGTTCTAGTGCATTCCAGACCAGACAAAATGAGATGTACAGTATTTTTCTTGTCTGGTCTTTTCTGGAACAGACTGTGCTGGTGTGAACAGAGGCCAGAATTATCATAGGGATACATTAGGATGCATTTTGGGTCTGGAAACAATCTGGTCTGGAGATTATCTGGATGTGGTGTGAATGGCCCCAAACGCCTGAGTTTAGTGGCATTTTAAAAACGATATCTATGTAGTTTACTAGAACTTCATTTTCTTATATAACTTTTTGATGTTAGACAGTTTTATCAGAAACGTTTGCGGCTGGTTTCACATCTTACCATGCATTGTACAAGTATCATTGTATCATTGTCATGAAGAGAAAAGAACAGCGATGCAGTAACATTTGTAGAATGCATCTCAATGCAGATGTTAACTAGTACTGTTTAAAACAAGAGCTAACCTGTGTATGTGCATTGATGTGTATTAAAGCACCTAGCTGCGAATGACCCTTATAATATTATAACTGTCATTTAAAATCTCCATGACAGAAGAGGAGAACACATATGTTAAAGAAAAACTAAAATACACTTACAATATTCAATAGCGATCCGTGATGATAATCCATAATTGGTTTATTTTTAAAGCACAGATATGAAAGATGTTTTAATTACTGTCTTTAAATGAAAACATGAAAATATATATATAATATTTTAGCCAGTGTTTTACATGTAAATGATGCATTTTAAATAAATGAAGAGTAAATTATTGATTAAATGAATAGAATTGACAGATGGAACAGAGAAGCAGAAATCAAAAATAGAAAAAATAGAAATATAGAAAAAATGCATAACATGAAAATATATATAAATAAATAAAAGTTTCAACACTTGCTTTGGTGAGTTTTTTTTGAACAAAGAAGAAGAAATAAAAGAATCAGGAATATAATAATTTGTGTTTCATCGGTATAATACATCATATAAATGCAGTTCACTCGAGTTGCTGATCAATACTGTTGGATAAACCTCATATGACAAAGATGAAGTACATTTATACACAATCTTTGTATAGAGTCTGAATGATCCCATAGAGATGAGAAAACCCTTGAGTGCCTATCTTGTAAAAATACAATTTCTTGTTGGATAAAAGAAAAATATTTTCTAAGTAATTATTTTCTTTATAATAACATATAGCTACATAAATAGCAAATTTCAAGGGAATATGTTGCCAAGAAAAATAAGTGATTGTAAAAACAGCCATAAAGTTATCAATTGACATGCTTTGGTAGTATCTGTAAGTGATCTGTTTAACCAGCTCAGTTCTCAAACCTGTTCACCTGGTAGGACAACAGCAGTTTTTAGGCCGGTTTTGGGGTAATAACTTTATCATTACTTTAGATAACAAAGTAATACATGTTTTCTTAGGGCAAACATGACTTTATTTTGGTAATGTTGCTTTGCACAAATGTTTGTATGCAATCCTTAGACAAAAAATGTAACAACATAAAAAAACACACCCGGTCACATGCACCACTGATAAAGACTACAAGCAGCCTTGTTAGGAAACATTGTACTGTCATTGTTCACTGTTGTCACTATCAAGAAGCTTCTCCAGAAGAAGGAAGTTCAACTGTTGTTAAATCGATTGGATGTGGAAAGGAATTGGCTGGAAGAGACTAGAGAGCTCAGTAGCACTGAGATAGGGACAAGGGATGAAACATTGTGAAAACAGATTTTAGGTTAAAAAAATCTGGCAATTGTTTTTGATATATAGGAATTTATCAAACTATATATCATCCAATGTATATCTAATTTGTCAGAATGGGCCACTTTCATGTTTCTCTTATAAGAGTACCTTTTACCATTGTGTGAGTAGATAGCATTTACTTTGGGAGTTATCAAACCAATTTAATTAAGGTGTGCTTGATATTTTACATGGTTATTCACAAAAGGGTGAAGAGTTTGGAGAAGGCAGGAGAAGTGAACAATCTAGGACAACATTGGTGATTTGGAACAATTCTCCATTTCAGCTCACTTTCTATGTTGTCCTAGATCAGAAGTGCCCACAATTTTTGTGTAAAGATCTACTTTTCAAATGACGAACTACATGAGATCTACCAACGAAAAAAAAAACCTCCCTCGCTCTCTCTCTCCTGGCATTCTCTGTCATACCTCGTTTTCTCCCCTGGCTGTATCTCCTTGCTTTCTCCCCTGGCTGTCTCTCCTCGAGCTCTCTCCCCTGGCTGTCTCTCCTTGTGCTCCCTCCCATGGCTGTCTCTCCTCGTGATCTCTCCCCTGTCGGTCTCTCCCCGCTCTCTCCTGGCCCACCTTGCTGTATTTTGCAAACAGTGTAGTGCAACAGGCTGTATAAACTAATATTCTTTGATGTAATACATAGCACTTCAACCACCAGAATCCACCAGAAAGGTGTCAGGGAGCTCGGCTCAGCAAACTCAGGCTAATAGGTAATCATGTATGCACAGAGGAATAAATATACCAAAATGAAATAAAGGGGACGTCATCTCACATCAGCTTTGAGAGCTACTGGTAGATCACTCTCTACCTAATGGGCACCCCTGTCCTAGATTGTTCACATCTCTTGTCTTCTCCAAACTCTTCCCCTTTTTTTGAATAAATCTGTTAGTCTCAAAAAGAAGGCATTGTCTTTGAAAAATGAACTATTTGTGTATTGTACTATTCCTCCCTGAAGACATTGGGCTATATAACAGGAGATCTATTTTTACAACCTTCTTCCTGTTAGGCTTTTAACTGGTTTTCTTAAATTACCTTGTTAAACTTCTAGAGGACACAGAACCTGTAAAAATGTACATATAGCCATCCATTTTCTTATGTGTAAAAAATAAGTCAAGACAACTGAACTTGCTGTATTTTTCTTGAAGACATTTCACTGGACATCCATCCAGGTTTCTCAATTCAGAATGACTTGTACAAAAAAATTATCTCGGAATAAATGTCACTGCAATCCACATAATTTGTTAGTCACAACCAGGTGTTGATTGCATTTGCATAATTGGAGTCTAGGAGGTTTATTAACCTGCCCAGAAAGCTGGTTGGATGACCAGTGAAACGTTTTCAAGAAAAAATACAGCAAGTCCAGTTGCCTTGACTTATTTGTTTCAGATATACCATGTGACCTGGATGAATGAGAACCTTCACAGACATCCCTTTTCTTGTTTTAAATGATAGAGATAGATTTAGACTATCAGTTAGTTTTTTTGCTGCCTCTCTTCCACTGGGGACTTTTCTCTTCACTTCCTACTCTGGAGATAAAACAGGAAGTAAAATGACATTTCTAAAAAATGAGAATAATTTCCCTCTTAGATAGCTGTCGCTGGCACAGGTGTCCCCTGTGGAAAATGTACCCTCACTCCTTAATCTGGTGACAACTGTAACATTTTGGATTCCTTTCGCTTTCTGTCTCGGTGACCAGGACAAAAAGAGGGGAGAATCTCCTTAGCAGGGACCACAATAAAAGCTTGAAAATGATTTTTATCTTTCTGTACTCTATTTAAAACATAAAAAAAGTTTTGGATATACATTTTTTAGGCAAGTTCTCCACCCACCCATCTAAGCGCTCTTTTAGTGTAACCTACAAATCTACCTCTTCCTCTCCTTTTCCCCTTTCTATTGGGGTCCCCCAAGGCTATGTCCTTGGACAACTCCACTTCTCTATCTACCCCTCTCCTCTTGGTCAGTTGATTACCTCACATGGCTTCCAGTACCATCTCTATGCTGATGATACTCAAATATATCTTTCCACTCCACAACTTACCTCCTCAGTCTCCTCACGTATAACTAATCTACTAACTGACATATCGGTCTGGATGTCACAACACTTCTTAAAGCTCAATCTTTCAAAAACTGATCTCATGGTATTCCCTCCCCCCACACACACTCCCCTAACTTTTTGATCATGATTGAGAACACAACTATCTCCAACACTCCCCCATGCCAAGGTCCTAGGTGTCATCCTTGACTTGGACCTCACCTTTCTTCCCCACATACAATCCAGATCCTGCCATCTTTACCTTCGTAACATCTCCAAAATACACCCCTTCCTCACCAATGAAACTACAAAGCTGCTCATCCACTCACTTGTTATCTCCCGTCTGGACTAGTGCAACTCCCTCCTCCTTGGCCTACCTCTACACAGACTATCCCACCTTCAGTCTATCATGAATGCTGCTGCCAGACTTATCCACTTAACCAACTGTTCAGTGTCTGCAACCCACCTCTGCCAATCCCTGCACTGGCTTCCTATAGCCCAAAGGATAAAATTCAAAATATTAACAATCACTTACAAAGCCATTGAAAACTCTACCCCAGGTTACATCTCCAACCTTGTTTTAAAGTATCACCCAAAACTGTCCCCTACGCTCCTCCCAAGACCCCCTGCTTTCCAGCTCCCTCGTCAACTCCTTCCATGCTCACTCCAGGACTTCACTAGAGTCTCTCCCATTCTTTGTAACTCCTTACTCCAACCTGTCTGTCTTTCTCCCACTCTGACTGCCTTTTGGTGATTACTAAAGACTCATCTCTTTAGGGAAGTCTACCCCACCTCAACCTAACCACTGAACTCCTTCTCATGCAATTCATCCCCACATAATAACAAAACATAATAACAAAACACTCCCCATGGTTTGATTAATAGACCAAAAAGGACCAAATAGAGAAGTTCATTGCTAGGGTTTACATAAAATGCTATTAGCAAAAAGTGCTTCTCATTGATCATGAGTTGTCAGGTGACTGTGACTGTGCTAAGCAATGAGTGCTCGCCATTTGCCAGCAGTATTCTAGATGCTGAGTGTCGGGCTGCAAACTGGTGTATGATGTATGGACCATACACTGGCTGGCTGATGTGGGTTTCAGCCAAACGCATGACCAGTAGGGGTGGGAAGAGGTGGAAGATTTGTCTGGGTAAATTCATTTTCTCACATTTAAAATTAAAAATAAATAATTATTATACAGGATTTATATAGCACCAACAGTTTGTGCAGCGCTTTACAATATAGGGAATACATTATAATTACAATACAATTCAAGACAAGATGGTAAGTAGGGCGCAGCCTGTGAGAGCTTAAAATCTAAGAGGGAGGGGCAAGTGATACATGAGGAGGTAGCTGTGTGGGATGATTTGCTTGAGAAAGTGATAGTTCAGTGGTTAGGTTGAGCCAGGATAGGCCTCCCTGAAGAGATGAGTCTTCATGGACCGCCTATTTGCAGACAAAGTAGGAGATAGCCGGACAGGTTGTGGTAGGAAGTTCCAAAGGTTAGGAGAGACTTTAGAGAAGTCCTGCAGGCGAGCATGGCAGAAGGAGCTAGAGAGCAGAGGGGACGATTAGGGTGATATTTTAAGACAAGGTTTGAAATATAGCCGGGGGAAGAGTTGTTAATGGCTTTGTAAGTGGTTGTTAATATTTAGAATGTTATCCTTTGGGTGATTGGAAGCCAGTGAAGGGATTGGCAGAGGGAGGTTGCAGACACTGAGTGGTTGGTTAGGTTGATGAGTTTAGCAGCAGCATTCATGATAGACTGAAGGGGGGATAGCCTGAGTAGTGGTAGGCCAATGATGAGGGAGTTACAATAGTCGAGATGAGAGATAACAAGTGAGTGGATTAGTAACTTTGTAGTTTCATTGGTGAGGAAGGGGCGTATTTTGGAAATGTTACGAAGGTGAAGGCAGCAGGATTTGGATAGTAATTGGATGTGTAGCAAAAGGTGAATTCGGGGTCAAGGATCACATGTAGCACCTTGGCATGGGTATCATCGAGTAAACAAAAAAACTTAAAGAAGAAGATTAATGCAGCCACCACATTTAAGGGCCAGTATACTTCAATTCTACATATAACATTTTTGTCCTAGGGTTTTGATAACCTTAGGAAAGGAAAGAAATGCTAGCAGAGTTAAAAATGGTCAATTGTGTTAATAAAAGGTTTATTTTAACCAAGTACAATGGGAAATGATGTTCAGGGTTTGAAACATGTCATGACACCAAAGCTAAAACTTTTTGACATTTCAAATTCTACAACGAACTATAGTCAATAGAAAATCCAGACCAGAGTTGTGATAGTTACAGGCTCAATTTTATTCAAAAACTTTAAAAGCAAAAGTAGCCATAGACCTTCATTCAGATCTTACTAGCTGAGATTCTTTTAATAAAGGTTAAAATACCTGTCCTGATAAGTACTTTTTTCATTCCTGATAAGCTGGTGCTAGAGATGTCTGCAGTGTGCTTTCACCTCCCTCTTCCATATTCCTAACAATGAATGGTTGTACATCATGACTGTTTTTGGATGCAGCAGCAGGACAACATGCTTGTACGTCTGATCCCCCTCGGGTATCTGTGACCAGCTTAAACCATTTTGTTATTCAAAACATTTCTTATAGCTTCCTTGATATCGTTATTCCTCAAACTGTATATGAAAGGGTTTAGGAATGGTGTAAAAACAGTGTACAGCAAAGCCAGGGTCTTACTGATAATATGGGATTGTCCTCCATTTGGAATCATGTATGTGGCGATTAGAGTCCCGTAAAAAATAAACACCACTGTCAGGTGGGAGCTACAAGTAGAAAAGGTTTTTACTCTTCCAGAATTGGAGGATATCTTTAATATGGTTGAAACAATGCATGTGTATGAAACTACTATCACAAGAAATGGTACCACTAAAACAGGAATACTCAATAAAGTGGTCTGCATTTGAATTATGGACACGTCCGAACAAGAAAGTTGCACCAGAGGATAAAAATCACATAGGAAATGGTCAATAGTGTTTGGCCCACAGAATTGTAGTTGACACATACTAAGAGTTAGAATTAGTGCGACAGAGCAGCTGAACAGCCAAGATATAACAACTAACTTAATGCAAAACATGTGGTTCATAATGGAGGCATAATGCAGAGGAGAACAGATGGCAAGATAGCGGTCATAGGACATCACTGTCAGTAGAAAACATTCAACTGCTTCCAATAAGCCAAAGAAATAATACTGAGTCAAACAGCTAACAAGAGATATGGAGGTCTGCCCATGCAGTACAATGTTTAACATGTTAGGGGTAATATCTGTGGACAACATGATGTCACTTACAGAAAGTTGGGTGAGGAAGAAGTACATTGGAGAATGGAGGCCCTTACTGTAGGACACCAGCATGATGATCAAGAGGTTTCCACAAATTGTCACAATGTATATTATAAGGAAAAAGGGGAAGAGAAATAGATTCAATATTTGATGGTTCTGGAATCCCACAAAAAAGATGGTCGTGACATTGTTCTTATACGTGGCCTGTGTGTCATGAAATAACAAAGACATTGCATTTTAATACATAAGAATATACAATATACTTATATAATTTTTGATGTTGTGCTAATATACAATGTAAATGAACACAAAGTCCCTACGCACTCCTCACAATGCTAAAACAAACGGTGCTCGCAGTGATGACCACGGATGGCGCCGTGCAGACACAGGATAGTGGATAAGGATCACCAGCACTCAGCAATGTCGTTTAAATAAGTCAATTTTATTTAGACAAAGTCACAGTGAAAACAGACAATGTTTCTGGGCCACGCAGGGTCACTTCATCAGGGCATCTTTTTGCTTCAAAACATTTCTGATTTTGAAAGTAAAAGATGTTTTATGTGTTGTAAACAAAAGAAGAAACTGAGGGATGTATGAACAGTTTATGCGTATAGTAAATAGGTATATCTAAGGTCAAAGCTTTTTTAAGTTTTGGATAGGTGAAATACTTTAGTTTCCTGCCCAACAGATACAACAGGATGTGAGTGGAAATTTTTCAAAAATAAATCCCCTTTTCTTTGTTTAAATCCGCGGTGAATGCATCAAAAAGCAACTTCCCCTGTGAACAAAAAATGTGAATCGTGAAATTATAACACACAAAAAAAGTGCACAAGGGTGCTGTGGACCTCCTCCAAAGATGAAAGGCCTCAACATTTCTGAACCCGCATGGCAAGGAGACTCTGGTCCACCTACCTGAAAGCCAGAGGACCCCGATCCTCAGGGTCCTACTGAAGTCATACCCACAAGTGCTAGGTAAAGGGCTCTCCCCGGAAGAGAGACCCCCCAGGTGGGGGAAGGTAGAGAAGCCTGTGAAGGCCACAGAACCTTCCCCCTAACATCAGGATGGTCCTCGAAGGAACCTGCAGCCATTGTCAATCTGTGGAATCAAAAGTGCTCAGACGTGCATAAAAATAGTCCCTTCTTGGTTGTCACTGGAACTTACTGGAAAATTTCCCCTCTATACTCAACATTTAATTCTTCTTCTGTGACCACTACATCAATTGTGAGTCTTGTGGTGACATAGGGGGTTAGAGGATGGCACTAGGATGAATTTGTGAGGACACAGGCAACCAACACAAGTTAAATGCTAAGCAAACTGATGGAGGATGGAATGGATGGAAGGTAGGAAACACAGGCAGCTGTGGAGTTGACTATAAGTGCTCTTCTTTTGCAGGACACTATCAACTTGATTTTTTTGTGGGCTGACTGAATTGCTTTAACTGCAGCTAGATTTTTAAATAATGTATATTCATTAAATAGTGATTATTTTTAAATATTTGCCTTGAGTTAAACTTCAAAATTATAACAAACAGAAAAACAGAAATTTCTCGAACAAAGACAACCATAGTACACTTACACTTTTTATCATTACTTCCTGATAGAAATCCATAAGTGGTAAAAATGTTACTGAAACATAAACCAACATAATCCAACATAATACACTTTAAATGTTAAAAAAAATCTAAATAAAAGACAAGAGAAAGAAACAAGGCAAAAGTAATTTGTGAAAATGGTCTATAAGACATGAGTTGTCTACATGGATAAGCCCAGTTTAACAAATCAGAAATTATATTTGCAAGCACTTATATTTATATATACATACTGACGTTGATAAAGAATAATTGATTCTGTAGTGAATAGAACATATTGCTCTTAATTCATGCAACCTCATTTTTTTTAAAGGTATCAATACACTTGAGAATTTAGATAAGAGTGGGAAATCTCTTTGAAATTAATACAAATATAAAAAAAAACAATATTTTCAAGGTTTTTATGTGTTTTGTGTGTGTATTAGCTATAATCTTAATCATGGTAAAACATACATATTAGATTATTTTTAGAAGGAGAAGGCTTTCTTCAGACTGACCATAGTGAACATATTATTTGACATTCAAATGTTCTTTTTCTTTAAGATAATCAAGTGAAATTATAGTAAAATAAAAAGTATATTTTCTGTTTTCCAAAATTATTTGCAGGTTTCACAAAGTAAATACAGTATTTTTTGCTCCATAACACGCACTTTTTTCCCCCAAAAAAGAGGGGGGAAATGTGCCTGCAAATCCCTAGTTTTTTGTACATTTAGCCCTGATAAAGCAGAGCTAAACGTACAGTGGAAGCCCCTGCTCATTTAATACAAGTGATCTATTCAAATCACTTGTATTAAAACCAAGTCCCCCGCCGTGGTTTTCTGGTCCCCCGCTCCTCTGGGGGACCCGTGACCACAGGATAGGAGCTCACCATAGAGCCCCTAGAGCAGACGAAGAACGGCCGTTCTTCGTCTGCTCTGTGTGATCACTGAGACCGTGGCACTGTAATCACAGCGCCACCTGTCTCAGCTGTCACTTACTGCAGCTTCTGTCACAGAAACTGTGACAGAAACGGCCTGTGTCCTATGTACCGGTGCACCTTATGGAGCGCAAAATACGGTAAATGACAACCAACAATGAATATGCAGTTTATACCTGAATTTTGAGAGGTAGTGATATCTTTGCTGGACCTCCATTTCAGAATACAGGGGGGTATGCCATTGAATAAAGTATTATCATAAATTACCTGATTAAAGATTTTAAGTAGTGCAGAGTAAAGTTGATCACAAATTTTGGATGGTGTTAAATTTGGATTGAATTTTATTCAATTGAATAGCCATTATATAGAATCTAATTTTTTGGGGGATTCTTTAATTATTTTATATTATGCAGAATCCAGTAGGGTTTTCTGGTAAAACTAAAGGTAGGTGTAAAACTGAACCATTTCCTGGGCAATAGGAACAGAGTCAGGATCATGGCAATGAGATCTTATAAGCTACTCTGATGAAAGATCTGATATCACTTATAAGGAAACCAACAACCTCTGCTCATGGTGAAGGTCTTTCAAGTTTAGAGAAGAGAAGATTTAAAAAGAAAAAGCAAAGATTAGAAAGCATAGAAATGAACACACATGGAAAAACTTTGGAAATGACAGGTGTACCAAGGATCTGACCCTTGGAGACTTTTAAGCTCTAGTCATGGACAGTGGCCATGTAGGACCCTCCAAGAATCCAAGGACAACCATCTGTTCTAACAAAATTTTTCTGCAAAAGTCGCTCTAGCAAACAAACTCAAAGAACCTAACATTAGCATTGGAGCAGTTAATGCTGTAATTTAATAATTATTTATTACTAATTATTAAACACATCAGTAGTGGCAACTAAGGATCATTTGTGTTGGAGCTATTCACCCACACAGTTCTGAATCCCCACAAGCTAGTCAAAAGATGGTGGAGTACTGCTTCCACCTGCAATGTCTTGGTGATAAAGCCTTAATGATATTTATTAGGCCTGATTCATGTGTGAATTTTGTCAGTGTAAGCGCATTCTTATTTATACATTCTGACTTTCTGTGTATGCAGATCTGTTTAGAATGCAGGTTGGAACAATTAGTAGTCAGGTGGTAAGGCACGGAATATCAAGCAAGACCAAGCCAACAAGCTTGGATTGGAAGAAGTCGTGCAGTGAGGTTCAGGAACAGTAGGCAGAAACATGGTTAGCAGAGGTTGTCAACAATCAGGCAGTTAAAGTATAGAGGAGATAGGTATAATTATTATTATTATTGTTGTTATTATTATTATTAATAATATTATACAGGATTTATATAGCATCAACAGTTTGTGCAGCTTTTTACAATATAAGGAAGACATTAGTTACTTTACAAATCAAGGCAAGTTGGTTAGGAGGGCCCTGCCCATGAGTGCTTACAGTCTAAAGTCTAGAAAAAGGTTGTGAGGCAAGGAGAAAAACAAGGCCAAGGAGTAACTCAAGTCAGCATGTTATAAGTAATATATCGTAGGCAAATCTGAGTTTATATAATTAGTCTGAAACTAACACCAAGGCCGTTAGGCATGAATGTTTATAATTACTTAGATATCAGTGGTAGTTATAGATGGGAAAGAAGCCCCAAAAGGAACTATCCTTCACAGGTTGCAGGATTCTAATGATGACAGTAGTCATTGTAATAAGTACAAAATCAATATTCACTCAATGTTTCCAAATTATCTCCACTGTCATCTACCATTAGATTGATGACAGGGGCAGTAAAGCTACACAAAGCAAAAACAGCCAGTTTGTCCTCCAGCTTTTCTAATGTGCCCCTCCCTCTCTCTCCACTAAGCCTGCCATAACCCCACAAACTGGCCATGAGGAAGTAATGGAATAAATTGAGCATGCAATATTATACTTTCTGCAGAAGGAAGATTTGAGTGATATACAAGTAAAAGTCATCCTCAGGGAGGTCAGGGTGGTGGAGGAGGAGAAAGAAGAGATGAAGGTGGAGTAAGAGGAGAAGGTGGTAGGAGGAAAAGACCATGAAAAATGAGTAAGAGGGTACAACGGCAATGCTTACCACCAGTTTTTAAATCTGGGGTGGCTGCTACTTTCACTGTTAAATTCAGACCTATTACTACTGGATGAAAAAATCAGTTGTCGCAGCTATAACACCTTTTTTTTCAAGTTGAAATTAACCGGATTGGGTACTGCTGTATTTAAGCAAAGGTACAGTAAATGTAAAAGTTACAAAAAAAGTATACATTCATAATATGTCACAACGCAGTCCATGGAAAGTGTACTGTTCTGTAACACCACATACAGATTAAAAGCATCTGCTAAAAAATCTGCATGTAAAAAGATTGGTATTTTCCCATGTCACCGTCAAAGTTGAACTGTGCGATATTTAAAAATATATATATATTTTTCAAATGTCTCCCATGTCAGTGCCCAGCTCCCATGCCTTTGTTTGACAATAATCTGCCAGTTAGTTAGAAAATTACCTAAATATAACATCTACATTCACCCACAATAGACTTTAGTGTGATTCAGGTATTGAAAAACCTGGCAGATCTGTTCATCCGTATCTGAGACTAACTGAAATGTATTCCCCAGGCTCCTCCATATTTTGGTGACTGGCTCCCATTTTTATTAAATACACTTGAGAAAAATCATGAGGTTGAATGTTGAGACGTTGATAACATTGGTTATTGTTTAGCGCATGGTCAGTATTAACTCAAGGTCAGCACAAATAGTGCTCCACCAGTGTTACATACCTTGGTGGAGTCTAAGTTCATAATGGTGGCCTCTCTTGCAGCTCCAGTCTCAGAGACCCTAAGTGGGGACACTGAGTGGCATGAGTCTGTTGATATCAATGATGTAGGAAAGGTCAGTCTCTGCAATTCTAACGTGTTTTGGGCAGGAGACAGGCACAGGAGAGGAACACAAAAGGAGCAGAGTTCCAGAAGAGCCATAGTCAGAACTAGATTGGTCATTAACACACAGACAGGGCAGTACCAGGCAACAAACAGGAGTGAAGTCAGGGTCAGTAACAAGCCAGGGTCAGTAACGTGTGGGCAAAGAGATGGCAGACAGAACTGATAGTAGAGGAACAAGTCGGGGGTCACAGGAACACAGAGTAGTGAGAGGAGGTCATCCAAGCCAGTTCGATAACAGATGAACAATCAGAACACAGGATCTCAGAACACAGGAAGGCTGTTGATCACTCAGCACCAGAGGCCAGAACATTAGGGCTTAAATAGCCCATAGGGCCCAGGCAGCGGGACTCACAGGGAACATCAACCACCGCAGAAAAAAGAACTCCAAAAAATCACAACCCCCCAGCACTGTAGAAGGAGGAGCAGGCTGTCAAAGACCCCTGGGTGCTCGGACAGGCTGACCAAAAGCAGATAGGTTCCTGACACATCTTATTTCAAATAGCCTACCGCTTTATACTCTGTGAAATGCATTAGTGTGGGATTACCTTTTTTGCTTGTCAAGAATCCAGTTATTGCTTAACATTAATCAGTGTTAATTGCCTTTATTCTTTGGGGTGGATCAATTTAAAAATCCCCAATCATTAGTTTGTTTTGTAAAACCTCTAAGGCATTTTAGGTTGTGTTGTAATGAATATGTTCCAGTTAGTCACCTATAAATATTCCTAGGAACTGAGACAGACTAGCTCAATGTTTTTAGTGTCACAGATCAGCTCTGCTTCTGCAAACATGTAAGGCTATTGTTACCTGTAGTTCCACAAGCATGTAAGCTTTTCTTACCTAACCTGTACGGATCTGGTGGTTTTAGGTGTCGCCCGATCCCACCAGCTTATCAGCTAGTCCATGCCAGGACTTCCAATGGTACTTTCAATGGTATCCAAACAATCCCTGCCAGAGCTTCCAGAATTTCCTGAAATGAGGTTGAGCATATCCTCTGACCCAAAGGGTTATTAAGCTCCAGATTTTGAGGTGGCTGTTGCTGTGTCTTAAACCAACTACCCGTGAATAGAAGCTATACTATTGTTAAGACTATTACCCATTGTTGCTGACCTGGTTTGCCTGACTATTCTGTCATCTTCTAACTTCTTCATTGTTGACTCAGACTTTATGACTACTGTTTGCTTGACACCTGCTAAGACCACTACCTAAACTTGAATACTCTCTACCTATTGGTTGCTGACCTGGACTGTCTAACTACTATCTGCTTGATACCTGGCAAGACCCCTGCTTTTTTATATAATCTTTATTTAAAGTTTTACATACTATACAGATCAACATTTACTCCTAACAAGGACAACAATTTTTAAACTGCTTGCTGAGCATAGACATTTCATCGTAATACATACATTTACATGAATATCACCAAACATTATATAACATATCTTCTTTTTCTTCCGCCACTTTAAATTTCCCAATTCACATTTTAATTACTCCTGATAATCCATCTAATTTGTTTACCCTCCCTCCCTTACATATATACACACTCATTTCCTCCTTCAAACCCACACACAGAGAAAAAAAAAGGATCCCTGCTTGATCCTGACTATATTTTGATCTCCTATCTCCACACTATAGTCCTCCTGTATCTGCTACCTGGTATTACCCGGTGGGCCAATCCCAGGGGCCTCATCCTGGTTGCAGTTGCAATAAAGAGTTCCAAGACCACTATGGTTTCTGGACCATTCCACAATCAGTAGCTCTGATGAAGACTTACTGGTACTTACATTCTATGCCCCTCATTACCTGACAGAGGGCATTGTGACATTAGTTAACATAAATCCACAATTGTTGTTAGAAAATAAGTTGTAGAGTCCACAAAAACTAGGAAAAAGATTATAAGATATCTCCACGTGAAACAATTAGATGACAAGTAAATCCAACTTAGTCAAGGTGAATTGAATATGCATACTCAGCTACCTAAAGTAACCAATTAATGCTGTTAGGTTTTATGTAGAACTAATGTTTAACAATATTCTTCGGTGCTTCTGTATTTTTTCTTTACAGCTAATGCTGGTTGGTCAAATATGGATCTAAAAAGAATTTTTTTTTTTAAATGCAGTACTTTTTGCTGTACTCTTTATTTGTTGTTATTTTTAAATTTTTGGATGATATATTTTACTTTATAACTGTAATTTACCAGACATCAGTTATTTCTAATGTGTGGACTAAACAGACCAGGGTACAATATGTTCAATTTTAAGGATTAGTGCAAAATTCATATGATCATAACTGGTGGACATTTGTTCTCAACTAAAAGGGTATTATTATTATTATTAAGATCATCATTATTTATTATTACAATGTATATTGCTGTTTTAGAGTGTAATATTTTATAGCCTTTCAGATAATCTATCCAGTAAACACACCTATGCTAGTAACAGTTTATAACATAATTATAACAACATTTTTTAAAGTTAAAAACATTCAATAAAAATGTAAAGTGTGAAAACACAAACAATGACCAAATGATGATTGTGATGATGATAACATCCTCAAGTTTCATATGAAATAATTAATGTGTTGGTCTTTAGAATGAATGGCACCATCAGTGATAAGTATCTTTTAGGATCTGCTAATTACTAGTCTATTTAGGTTTTCCGAGGACAATTAGGATTCATTTAAAATTGAAACTATTCACAGAAATGTAAATCAGTGAAGAAACAGATTTTCAAAATTGTACTATATATACTAATGGTAATCTTTCTGTTTTTAGAAATTCTTCATATGTTTGGAAAACAACTAATTCTGTCTATTTCTTTGAATGGAGAGAAAAAACAACATTAGTAGAGTCTTTATTTTAGGATTCGAGAATCTACAAGGCAACAGGTACTTACTCTTCTGTTTGCTGCTCTTCACCTTTTGTGTAACATTATTTGGGAATGCCTTGATTATGATTTTGGTGTCCTACAGCAAGAACCTCAGATCTCCCATGTACTTCTTCCTCTCACAGCTCTCCCTATGCGATATCTTACTGAGCATTGACAGTGTACCAAACACTCTTAATGTTATTATTAATGAAGGAGGAACCATGTATTTAGCAGGGTGCATTATTCAATACATCATCTTTCTTATGTCAGAAAGTTCAGAGTGTCTTCTTCTGACAGTGATGTCCTATGACCGATATTTGGCCATCTGTAGCCCACTGCATTATGGTTCAATAATGGGGGACACATTCTGCAAGAAATTGTCCGTAGTGTGTTGGACACCAAGTTTTATTTATTCTCTTATTTTATCTGCAAGTTTAAGTAGTTTGTATTTCTGTGGCCCAAACACCATTGACCATTTCTTCTGTGACCTGGATCCTATATTGAAACTTTCTTGTTCGGATGTCTCTTTTATTCACGTGGAAGCCAAGGTATTGAGCGTCCCGGCAGTGGTTTGTCCATTCCTGATCATCATGGCATCATACATCTGTATTGTCAATGCAGTTTTGAATATTTCATCATTTTCCGGAAGACAAAAGGCCTTCTTCACCTGCAGCTCCCACCTGACTGTTGTGTGCCTTTATTATGGGACAGTGATAGCTGTGTACATGCTTCCAACCTCATTGCACACATTGAATATGAATAAAATTTTTACTATGATCTACGCTGTTTTCACTCCGTCTCTTAACCCCATCATCTACAGTCTGAGGAACAAGGACATCTGGGAGGCAATGGAAATTTTTCTGAATAAAATTACCTGCTGTTTAGGGATGAGGTCTAGGTTCACTGCTACCATAGGTTCGGGGCATATCCTGTATGTTCGAGGTTTGCACACCCGGAGAAATAATGTAGGGATTTCTCATAATAAACATAATGTACTTCCTGGACTTTGAACTTAGGTCAACTAGCTTTCGGTGGCAAATAAAGGGCCCTTTAGAGAAAGGAGTCATACTCCTCTCTATAGAAGGCAGAAGCCATGTTATCAGTGTGCTTTAGGTGTGATAGGGAAAGCATAAGGACAGCTGTTGATAAAGTGCATCGAGAGAGATTAGTATAGAGCTTGTCGGCACTGGCGGGTTTCTTAAAGCAGATGTACACCTCTACTTAATGTCCCTTAGGTAGCAAAATGCTGTGTATCTTGGAGAGTCAGTTCACACCATATCCAGTGCGTTCCAGTGCAGGTAGTGCCCAGAGCGCACTGGATGGCATAAAGCAAGTATATGCACTATTTTTTTGTGAATGCACTACACCAAAAAGCAGGGCATTGCTGCACCATGCGTTCTGGTGGGAGAAATTGCACTGCAGGTGGGAGACGTGTCTGCAGTGCCATTGACATGAATGGCACCATCAAGCCACCTCCTGCCCCAGAACATGGGAGGCTTGCTCTATGTGATCCTGTGCGTTCTGGGCACTAACGGTGGATATAGTGTGAACCAAACCAGAGAATTTGTAGGTGGGGGTTAGTCTTAAACACTTCCAACCAAATGTAGACAGAATTTGTCCTGAAAAACAAGCTATAATTTAACTTGATACACCATGTAGTTGCAAAGATATGTACAGTTTTACTAACACATGTCAAAGTAGTAAAAGTGAGTTCAGGCATTAAAGGAGAACTATGAGGTGAGTGCTTTTCACTCACCTGATAGTTCTAGCCGACCTGTGACAATGAGACTGTCACAGGTCGGCTCAGTAGATCGGGAAGTGAGCGAACACATACCGGGTTCGCTCACCTCTCGATCCTGTCACGGCTCTCTGCCGTGACAGGGGAGGGGCTGGATTCCCCTCTCCGATCCTCCAGCGCTGACTGGCAGAACGGACGGGGGAGGGGGCGGGTACAGCTGGCTCTGCCTCTAGATAGGCAGAGCCAGCTGTCACTCGCGCAGCTGGGTGGATCTCAACATCAATGTCGGGATCTGCTCCGGCTGCGGCGTCTCAGTATACCGCGAGCTGTAGCTTGCGGTATACTGAGCCTAGGGTGACGGGAGGACGCTAGTTTGTGTCCTCCCGTTACCCTGAGGAGAACTATGGGGAAAAGCCCTGACCCCATAGTTCTCCTTTAAGATTTATTTTACCTTCATCATTAAAGGGTTACACAATGAATTAAATTCCTATAAGCTGTCCAGATTTTTTTTACTCTGAATTAAGCTTCTCAATTCTTATGTAGAGACATAAATCCAGACAGAATCACTTCATTCCATGTTTCTTCATTTTGTAACAGTCTCTTGCTCATTAATGAATTAAGAGATAACAAAGTCAAAGACTTTTCCTGCTGCTGTTTACTTAGATCTAACAGCTCATTAATACTGTATCTCGTCATGCAACAATGTAAGTTATTTATCTATACTTGTACAGAGAGATGCATCAATGTACAGTAAGTTGTCCTTGGAGTTTTCTTAACATGTTGGAAAATCTCTGTGAGAAATTGCTGTTTGTTTGTTTTTTTTAAATTAAAAAATGAAAAGAGCCATTTTCCAAACCTGCTGCGTTGTAATGTTTTCATTGAGTAGGGGAAAAATAATACAAGTGGTTCCAGAAGCACAAAACGTAAACGACTGTGGCTAGATTTCCTAACATATACAGGTACATATGTATTGGCACCATCAGGCAACATTACATATTGTAATAAACTAGTGATGTACCGATACTTCGAGTACCAATGCCAATACTTGGCATTTTCATGAGAACCCCCGGGGTTGCAGTGTTTGGAGCTGGGACTTGGCTCTGGCGCTCCACCACTGTCCTGAAATCATTAGTCCGTATTGTTTTAGAAAAACTGTCACGTGATAATAAACAAAAATGTATCAGTACTCGTACTCGCAAAACTGGTATCGGTGCATCCCTTTATTTATATTTATAAAAACAAAATAAAACATGAAAACAGAGATGTACAAATCCCGGGAGTTCCGTGTGCTCCTTACCAATGACAGCTGCCTCCTAACTTTTGAATTTTTCTCTAGTCTAGTCTTGGAGCTGGAAAAGTATCGGTATTTGTACCGAGTACTGTACTTGGTATCGGTGCATCCCTATAATAAACCATATTTTGTGTTATAATTAACACTTTGTTTTTAAATCACAGGTGTACTTTATAACATTATAGTTAAAGTGCATGTAAACCATAACAATGAACTTCCCTTATTTGTTCCCTTGTGGTCTGGAAAATATACCTTTTGGAAATGTCTTGCTACATTTGTATCTTTAAATGCAAGATTTGTGGTGTCAAAGTTTGTGGTGTCAATGTTTCGGTGTTAAAGGGCTCAGATCACTTGTAGCAGCCTATAATAGTGCTACCCTTCCTGCACCGCCCCACCATGTTTTTGGGGGGTCTTCAATTCCTCTAGGGGACCCAGAACCATAGCAATTAGTGTCAGGATGGAGAGCAGTAGCAGATCAAGGAATGTCCAATCCCTGTACTGCTTTGTTATCAGTGAATCAGGAAATGCTGTGCTCACAGCACTTCCTGCTCACAGCTGTCACAAGCCCGGCTGAAATGCTCATTATACAGGAGATCGAGCACACTGTTGTGCTTCATCCCATGTATTTGATGCCAGGGGAGACATCTGGGTATCTATAAAAAGAACACGTCTCCTCCAAATGCTATTACATAGGGGGCATGTTAGCTTCCTGTGGGATAGCAATAAAGTTAAGTGAAAAAAATAAAAAAAGCGATAAAGTAAAAAATACTAAAATGAATAAAAAGATAAAAGTAAAACTAACCCTGTTGCCCCGGCCATCTTCATGAGAGTAAAAATTGGTGTAGCTGTGTAGGCCATGCACGTTTGCCCCGCAGATGTGTTAGGTATCACCATGAATGTCAGAGCAAGAGCAATCATTCTTGGTCCATAGTTTGCTGTTAACTCTAACCTGATGAGCAGAAAAGGCTTTTAAATGGTCCCCTATGGACAATTTTGAGTACCATAATTTTTTTGCCATTGCACAGGTGCACGCAGTTTAAACCCTTGACATGTTTAGTATCTATTTACTTTTATATTGTACAAAAAAAGGGTATTATATTCTGTTTCTGTGCACTAAAATTAATTTTAGTGTATTTTATCCTAAAAGTTTTGGTTTAATAAACATTTGCAAATATTGTGCAACATAAAAAATTGCAACTAGCATTTTTTTGATCTACAGGGCCTCTGATTTCAGAAAACATGTCATTGCTTGCAGGTATTAAACTGTTTTCTAGCCAAAAATTCAGATTTCGTCATGTGTGTACAAAAATCAGAAAATTGCTCTGGACAGCAAGTGGTTAAACAATTTCTTAAATGACGTTAGTATGCTTATACAAGATTCAATGATTTGTAGACACGTGCAATTCGTTTCGTTCCAAATCAAAATTCGGACTAATTTTCCGAATTTCGGACACATCTGCATCTTCGAATCCCTATGCATCCAAATGTGTCAGAATCTAGACATGTGCACCAGCAAAAAATTTGTTTAGTTTAGTTTCGTTTTGAAAAAAAAAAAAAATTAGTTTAGTTTAGTATAGTTTTGAAAAAAAATTTTTTTCGTTTAGTTTAGTTTTGTTTTTCGGGTCCGAAATTAAATTAGTTTCGGACGAAAATTCGTTTATGAAAAAAAAACAAAAAAAACTTTACTCTCCAATGGCTGGACTTGAACCAGCAAACTTCACAATGGCAATCAATTACAAGCCTTTACCTCTATCCACTACTCTAAAGCCTCTGTACTTTAAGCATAGAAGCATTTAAAGCAAAGGAAAAAAAAAAAACTTTAAATATTGGTTGACTTAGCCAGGATTTGAACCTAAGACATTAGCAATGGGAATCCTGTACCACTATCCACTACACTATAGCCTCTGTCCTTTAAGCATAGATGTGTTGTAGAGGTAAAATGGTGTAATTTTTTATTCCATAATGTCATTTTGCTGCAACGAAATTTGTCCAATAACGAATTTCGGGAAATCGGGAATTTCGGATTCGTTTGCATTCGTCTTAGCTGTAATTCGGAATTCGGATGCATCCGAATCTCCGAATTTCCGAAAATTCGTCCAAAACGAATCGCACATGTCTATCAGAATCCGAATTTCTGTTTCTGAATTTTTGATCCCGTTCGAATTCCGTTAAAAAATTAAACTGAATCGGACATGTGACTTGTCTGGCCAATCAGATGTGTTTTTCGGTTTAAAGCATCCGAATGGGTCTGAACATGAATTTTCGTTACGGCAGCATGGGAGCCATATACAGTATATACATATATTACTAAAGCTGAGGCTCCCAGACCCGAATGGCATTCGGAATCTGAATTTTTGAATTGCATTCGGGAGCTCCCAAATGCCAATCGGGTCTGGGAGCCTCAGCTTTAGTGATATATGTATATGGCTCCCAGACCCAAATGGCATTCGGGATCCGGATTTCTGGGAGCCATATACATATATTACTAAAGCTGAGGCTCCCAGACCCGATTGGCATTCAGGAGCTCCCGAATGCAATTTGGAAATTCGAATCACGAATGCCATTTGAGTCTAGGCGATTCAGCTTTAGTATTAATATCTGTATATGGTTTTCTGTGGTATTCGCAACAAATATTCCTAAACTCATCCGAAAAGAAAGAAAATTTGGATTTTGTCGGAATCCGAAAACTGAATTGAATTTCGGATCCGAATCCCGAATCCTAAAATAACTAAATATCTGAACCGAAACAAATTTTTCCGCAGCTTACATGTCTAGTGATTTGGTTTATATCTATGTCAATATCTAAAAGGCATTTTTTAGTTCACATATAGCAATGGATGAGACACATGATAGGAACGGATATGAAGGATGAAGTGTATTTTGAAAGGTTCACTCATTTCTTGTAGAGACAGCTACATTGTTTTGGACCAAATTAGATGAAACGGCATTGACCTGAATAGTTTTGATTCAAAAGGGAAAGG